CTATTCTTCAATAGCCAGGTTCTCAGCATTCTAGTCAAGTCCCACTGGCCCCTCAGCATTATAGGTCAGTATTGTTTCCAGACAATTCCATATGTCATCTTTTCCTTACTTCCTTTGTTTTACCTATTCAAATCTGATTTCTACTTTAGAGTTAAGCAGCTCAAGTATTACCCCCTTGAAAACTTTATCATCTATTGTAGGCCTAACTGATCTCTCCCCTTCACTTTATTATGTTGAATCAGTATCTCTGAAATAGGCAGCTAATTTCCTGTTTTACACCTTTGATTTCTTGTTTGTCTTCTGAAGTAGATTTTAGGTCTATTGATAGCAGAGATTTTCTATTTCATAGTCTGTTCCTTTACAAGCATTTGTGTACCAGAAATAGTACTTTAGCAATTAGTAAATAGGATAATGATGTCAAAATAATGCGGAAGTCCAGTTGATTCAAGTGTGAATTTTCTTTGCACTTTAAGTTTTGAAGTAATCCAAAGCAAACTTTCCTCACTATTGAAGCCAGATATACAGATAGGTAGTTAGTGTAGTTACGTAAATTGGGTCTAACATCGAGTAAAATAAAGAATGGAGGCCATTATAGAGAATGGATTCCAGGAAAGCAGAGCAACACTTGGGGAAATTGAAATGTTAATGTCCCCAAGGCCCCCTAAACCCATCCTAAAGAACAGCAAACAGGGAAGTGCTAATCCAAAAGCCACCCCAGGCCCTTCTTTCCCAGATTACTCCTTCAGCCCCCCTATCTCCCACCTTTTGGGCCTTCCCACCTGCATTCTACCACTGAAAGATAAAGGGAAACAAAGGACTGGAGTGTGGGAAAGCTGAAAGAAGACCTTAGCTATAAAAAAGGGAAGACCTCCCCCTTTCACAGATTCTGCCTTTTGGGTCCCCTTCTTCCTCAAGGGAGAAGTCTTTTCTGCTGTCCTTTAATAAAACTTCTACTTTCCACTCTAAACTTGCCTCGAAGTGCTTCTCTGGTGTTATACTTCAGCATTGGGGAAGCAAGGACCGGTAAACAGCGGTAACACTACTAAGGAGAAGTCTTTACAATATATGAAGACTTAAAAAGTGAAGAATTGTGCATATGACTCTGCCTTAAAGTGTAAGTTGACTGGTTTAGTGGATTAAACTTTGAAGTTTTCAACAACTTTAAACTATCTCTTGAAGCTGTGAGAACTGATAATAAAGCTGTGAAGACCTTTCATTACATGTTTTTTAAAAAATTGCCAGGTACAGTGATGCACTCCTATAATCCCAGATTTTTGGGAGACTGAGGCAGGGGAATCCCAAATTCAAGATTTGATAACATTGAGACCCCATCTCAAATCAAAAATTAAAAATAATAAAAAGAACTAGGGATGTAGCTCAGTGATAAAGCATCCTGAGTTCAATTCACAGTATTAAAAAAAAAAAGGAAAGAGAAAACGTTGGCTACTCTTCAATTAGATTTTTAATTCTGGTGAAAATGGCATCTATTAAAAGTGAATGCCTTTGAGGATCCACACAGGAAAGAAGCAGCAGAAGCATGAAGTCTACCAAGCATCGATGACTGTGTTGCTTGATACTTGGTGTAAATGCCAATGGAGATTTAACCTCATCAGTATTTTTGTTAGTATGGTTATTGTTTTCTTTAGTGCTCTGATCACAAAGTTGCATTAGATTTAAGTGGTTTTCCTGAACCATATTTTTCTAGAAGCCTGATTATCTTAGGCATGCAATTTTGAAGAATGAAAGATTCTTCAGGAAGACATGTTATAGCAGAATGTTTGGCACTTTTTAAAAATCATCTGCATGATATCCAGTTTGGTGTTAGCCACATAACATGTTTAAAATAAATACTTGTTTACTTGTAGTTATCTTTTAATTTATAAATATTTTTGCTGTGACCCTGGAGTTGGTGATTTCTCATTTTTTTCTGATCCATATTTCCTTTAATTTCTCTATGAATGACCCAGATTGTTTAGATGAGGATAAAGGATGGCCCTAAGGTCAGTTTGAAGAAAGATAGAGCCCTACCAGCCTCTTATCTTTCTTTCTTCCCAGAGCTAGCTTTTAAATGCTGATTGGGTTCTAGGAATCACCAGAAGCCAAAGGGAGAGGCCACAGGATCAGTGGGTCTAAAGTACAGTTTTGATACTCCACCTGATGGGGTAGCCTCTTTTATTCAGCTTCAGAGAAAAGAGTTCTCTCCATCCACCAGCCTATTTGTGTGTCCCAGGGAGGCAAAACAAAGGATCACAGGTAAGATGAGGGCAGCTCCAGGAATTGGTGAAGCCCTTGGTTCACAATTGGTGACAAATGTCCTTGCCTGAGAGCTGTGGCCCCTTTTGTGTATTAGCTTCTAAGAGAGGCCAATGACCCTGATGCCTAAATAAGGGATTTCTGTTTTATTGTTTTTAACTGTTCTTTATATTAACTGGAGCAAAATGCTGAAAAACAAACACCAAGAATTAAGACAGGGGCTGAGATAATCACATTAAAGTCAAATATAAGCTATATCTGGAACAGGTTTTTTAATTTTTATTTTTTCACTTTTTGCCAAAAATATTGTAGATCTTTTCCAGTTACCTCTAAGTGAATATCAAAGGTAGCTTAGCCTGGCCTGAGGATAATGAAATGCAACCTTACATTTGAAATAATATTAGTTAATTTATGAGTCCATTTATGTACTCCTAACAGAAATCATTCATATTTTAATACCCTTCCCTTGCCCCCACTCTCCATTTCTTAAATAGTGATGAAATGAAATTTACAAGTACAGGGGGGCCTTCATGATCTGGACTTCCTTATCTGTTCTGTTTCTTCTCTTGCCAACAACCTCCCACACAGTCCAATTTCTTAACCATAGGGTCTTTTTGCATGTGCTATTTTCATTTCCTTTGCCTGGAATGCTCTTCACTTACTTGTATTGAAATTGCTCAATATATTTTTGTTTCAAACCCTCTCAAAGAGCCTGAAGGCTTCACAAGAGCAAATCATGACTGTCTAGTAGGTTGCCAACAAATACTTACTGACTTTATTCAGAACTTTATCACTCAGCTAGAACATTATCTTCTTTGGGATGGTGTCCCTGAATCTTTGACACTTGGTTAGCTACCTCTTTCATAGGCTCCCTGTTCAAATCTGTTACTCTGTAGTGCAATTCTTTAACAGTCTGTCTCTTCCATTATATTGAGGTTCTAAAGGACAGAAATTATGTCATATAAAGTACCCACAGTACTTTGTTTATCATCTGGTATACTCCGAGGAGTTATGTGTACTGAGAAGTTTCTTTCTTCCTTTTTTTCTCTTTTGCCATATTGGGGATTGAACCCAGGGGTGCTCAACCAATGAGAGGCATTCCCAGGCCTTTTTTTTTTTATTGAGAAAAGGTCATGCTAAGTTGCTGAGGCTGCCTCAGCCTCCCAAGTAGCTGGGATTCCAGGTGTGTGCCACCACACCCAGCTGTAACTCAGCAGATTATTGAGTAATGTTTGAACTTGGAGGGCCCTTGACTTCCACCCACAGCCACATCTCTCATAGAGAAATTATATGAAAGCACTGGGTAAATAGTTCATTCCCTTCTGCAGCATCCATTTTCAGTATTTCAGAAGGGGGCACATTTAGATCAATTAAATCCTGTGCATGCATATATGTGTACAGTGAGTCAAATTCAAAATATACATCAAATTTAAGTCAAACAGGAACTTCAACATAGCAAATTTACCTTGGGGCTCCTTGTTCAACCTGTCTGGGAGTGTGCATTCCTTCTTCACTCCTGTCCTTGGGTAGTTTACTACTTTAGTAAAAAGAAAGTTAATGACCAGGACAAAGATATCCAATGTTCTTTGATTCTACTGTCCAAGTTAGTTGCCTTATCACACCTATATCATGGTTTAATTCACTGTAATGCACTCTGAATAAATATGTTCAGATACAAACTGAAGTCAGCATAGGGAACTCCAGGTTGAAGGGAAGAAGCTTAAAAGAAGCCAGGGCCCTAAAGATTTCTTCAGTAACAAGCATGTGGACATGTTTATGGACTTTACATTTTCAAGTAGCTTCTCTAGCATATGGGCTCTTATTCCACCATGGGGGTTCATTCAAATACTGCCTTGCTCTTCTAATGTTCTTCGTGTGCACCTTTATTTTTAAAAGGTTCCCTTTATAAAGGATGGACAAAACGCTAGTATACTCTAGGGACTAAAGACTTTACACCCTGGCCTGCAGCATAAAAACACCTACATTTGTCTAGAGATTTATATTTTAAACAAAGCTGTGACACACATATCTTATTCACTGCCCACGACAAACCTAAACCTAAACTAGTGCGGGGAAACTTAAGATAGCACTCACTGGATGCAATTGTAAACTTTAAATCAGTGCTTTGGTTAAAGAGCCTAACAACACCTTCGGGATTAAGCAGTGGGCGCCTGCTGCTCCAACTACCTGGCAACCTGGGAATAAGGGAAAGGCTGTTATTTCTTTGGTCACAACGCAATCATGGCAACAGAAGCACCCACTCTTTCCACTTTGACCCATACAATCTGTCTAGGTAATTAATCAGCACTCCCTGCGGTTTTCCTATAGGCTGCCAGTTGTCTTGCTAATTAAACCTTCCCACGCAGTGTAGCAAGACCACACCCCCGTTGAGGCCTCTCTAAGGAAAGGTGCTTTGGTGTACACTTCTGGAAGCTGACGCTCAGGTCGGGGTGCCGATGAAACTGACACGGGAATTCTCCTAGACCTCAGTTTCCTCATCTTTAAAATGGGCTACCCCTCTCTCTTGATTAGGTCCCTGCCATTTCACGCTGGGCGGGTAGGAAGTGAAATCAGTGATTAACCACAGCTGAAAGTCCTCTGTTGGGCTCCAGTCACCATGCCGGGCATGCTCAGTAGCAGGGGCCGGCTCAGCACCCTGAGTAGGAAGCGGCTTTCCGCGCCCCAGCTGCAGACTGCGGGCACTTTGATGAATCACGTGTGTTGAGGCCCTCTTAAAGAGATAGGCACCTACTTTCCCTCCACCCTAAACACCGCCCTGAGGGCGGCGGCGACTGTGGTAATTGCAGCTGCTTAGGGGCAGGGCTTGCCCCAGCACTGAGTAGTGGCAACAGCGTGGTTGCGTCGGGGGTGTTGGGAGCCGGCAGCCCCGGGGGCCTGAATTAGGCTACTCCCCGGGCTGACACTCTCTCCCTAAGGGAGACGTGCTGTCGAATCAGCGCTGGGCAGCGACAGCGCCCAGGGGGGCTTCTTCATTTGAGGAGAGGTGGGGTTATAGGGCACAGGTGACAGGGCCGGAGAAAGATGGAGCAGCCCTGGGCGGCGGCGTCGGGAGCGGGAGGCGGCAGCGAGGAACCCTGTGGGGGCCGGAGCAACAAGCGGAGCGCGGGGAACCGAGCTGCCAACGAAGAGGAAACGAAAAACAAACCCAAATTGGTGAGTGCTCCCGCAGCCCCCGCCGGCCTTGGGGATAGGGAGAGCCCCGGGGTCCTCCTGCCATTGAACACGGGGAACCCGGGGCCCCCTCCCAATGGTGACCGCGACCTCGCTGTGCTACTCCGGGAGCTGCTAAAGGAGCGGAGCGGCCAAACCGAGGCGCGGAGACGGCGTGGGGGCGGAAGAGCACCCCCTTCTCCACTTAACCCCTTTCTCCCTCTTGTCAGCCTGGGAGGCAGTGAGGGAAGGAGAAAGGCCCCACCCCAACTTGGGGAGACCCCGAGTCCTAGAGTATTGGGTAGGGCTGTTGTTTGTCTAACTTGTGGCCACGAACCTTCTTTGAGCGATTCCATTTCCCTCCCACCTCTTGTCAGTTGCTGTTTTGACTCAACACTTAGGGTCCGGGGCAGGGGAACCTTCCTCCTTTTTGGTCCCAGGACTTGGGAGCCCGCTCAGAGCCTTTCAAATCAAGAAAAACACAACGTAGGCCCCCAATTCTTCAACTTAACCAGAAATCTAAGAGGCGCCTACGTGCGGCACCCCCGCCCCGCACCCCCGCCCCGCACCCCCGCCCCGCACCCCCGCCCCGCACCCCCGCCCCGCACCCCCGCCCCGCACCCCCGCCCCGCACCCCCGCCCCGCACCCCCGCCCCGCACCCCCGCCCCGCACCCCCGCCCCGCACCCCCGCCCCGCACCCCCGCCTCTCTCTCCATGTGCTCTCCCAAGAAATATTTCTTTGGAGGAGTGGGGGAAGCGTGGGAGTTGAGGCTGGGTGAAGTACCACCAACTGTCCTTTGTGTATGTTTATGTAGTCATACAGTACTTCAACCCAGTTGATTATGAACACTTAAAAGTGGTAGGCAGACTGTGCACTTCTCACAGTCCTGGTAGTGTTGAACCACTGGTAGCAGTCCATTTCCTGCCGCTGAATGTGCAAAATGAAATCTTTGGGGCCTGATATTGCATTGGGAAATACAGGATTTCTTCAACTCAGTTAAAAGGGTTCCTCTTTTTGTAAACTTTGTAATTTGGGTGACATTGAGGGGGAAAGGGTTTTTTCCTGCACAAATTCAGCAAATACTGCCAAATAATCTTAGTCCAGATCCGAAGTACATGCCACATGTTGCATATGTAGATTTTAGTTTTGAGCAGCAACTTGACAGGGGAGTGGGTGGGATGGGGACATATAAATAAAGCCATTTCCCATGGAATCTGGCCATTTGGTATGGACATGTTGTATTTGTATTTTGGTTCCTATTTGCTTTTCAATTATGGACTATCTATTCATAATGGAAAACAGTGGCCAAAGAGTTATTGTTTTAGGAAATATGCAGCCTTACATTATGTGGGAAGGGATTTGTAGATTAAGATGGCAAATTTAAAATCTCATCAATTCCACACTAAGTGGACACAAATTGAAAACTAGCTTAATAGGTGCGACTTTTACCCCAGTATTTACAAATGAAGAATTTGAGTCACAGGCTCTTTGTGACTTGTATGTGCTGGTGAGAGGCTAATGGGTGCCTGCACAATCATAAAACTTAAGAAAAGTTTTGAGTGTATCACTAGAGTTTCATGTGTTTGAAATTCTGTTGTGATTTTGAAATTTATTGGTTTTCCTTTTTTTACGGTAGCACAAAACTGTGGTTTAATCAGTAATCACAATTTTAAGTAAACATAAAATTTAACTGATAGTTTCCACAAATAGTTTTGTACCTATACCAAGAACCCTCCAGTTTTAAGAAGAACACTATCAAGAAAAGCATCTATCTCTAATAACACTTTGAGTATATTTTTCCTTTCCCTTTGACTATTTGCCCTGTTTCATCTTTTGTTTTACTTGGTTTGACAAGCAAACTAGATAGTTATGAGATGGTATCACTTTCAGTTCCTAACTAACCTCACTGTTCCATGTTGAACATAGCTTGATAGAGCAGAACAAGTTTTGAAATCCAAGAGTTTCTAAAATATCAACATGAGTGTTTTTCCTGAAACATAACTTTTGAGCCTTACATGATTTTACAAGCAGATGTGTCAGAACTGATAATAAATTTAGGAAATCATTATAGGACATTTTAAGGCAAGCAACTTCATCATACAAATAGACTTGGTAAAACTTTGTAAGAAAGTTCATCTGGGATTCTTCAGATTTTGCTAAGTTAGATGAAACTTGATTGAGTCTAAACTTTATTATTTTAAGCATTATGTCAGTCACTGTAGTAGTGCTTAATTCGTGTGTCTAAGTATGTACAAAGGAGTTGTGGTATGGAATTATAAAAGCACAGTGGTACAAAAAGTTATTTGTGTGGGTGATTGTAGGGTACAGGGTCTCAAACTCTTCAAAAATTGAGTGCATGTTCTTTTTTCTGGGCCCCATAGCGCTCATCAGCTTCTCAAAGGCAATGATCACCTTTAGAAAGAAGAACTATTGCAATATCAACAAAAGATAGTAAAGGAAATGATAGTTGATGCTAAGTTTGGGATGGGAGGACGTCAGTGATGAAGGGAGAAAGGAAATCACACTGGCCACAAGGGTGATTGACTTGAAATTTATTCTAGGGGTAAAAAGTTAACTACACAATGTCTAAACAGTATTAGGTAGGATCAAAGTTTCTACTACATAGAAAAATTAACTTGGTCACTCTAGTGAAGTATAAGGCTTGTGATTCAGTTGTTTGCATTTAGTTCATCATGGTTCTGAAGAACTGGAAATGGAAGGCATGCATTCTATAAACAGGAACTACTTTCATTTATATCCTCCATTTTTTGATGGATATTATTAGTGAGACTTTCTTTCAGAGTGGCACTTTCGAACTGTAGAGACTTCTGTTTAGGGTTAATTAACTCAAAATTCAGCAAAATTTGCTTCAGTTTTCTTCATATATACATCTTTATAATGATCCGTTCATTTTGACTTCTTTTTAAGTGCATTTGTGGGGGAGTTTTGGATTTTATGTAACTATCTGGTTAGGCCCAGATAGCAGCATGCCAACAAGCAGCATGACTCTTAGATTAATTAGTAATTTTATGTCAACTATGAAATGTATGTTGTTAAATTGAGTAGGAGAGAGAGCTCTAGAACTGTTGTGAAGGAACTTCAATCTTGAATCTCACATATTTAAAGCAGTCACTTAATCATTGAAAGAAGGCCTCACACACAATGGTAGGTATATAGTGGCTTGATAGTATTTGATATTTTGCCTTTTGAATTTGCATTTATGTGTACTTTCTGAAACCTTTGTTTCTTTAGACAGTAAATTCAGATTAGTAACTTCAAATAACACAAGTTGTTTTTTTATTGTTATATAACTTCCTGCATATTTGGTGATTTTTTCATACTTAGATAAATCATGTTTTGATTTTAAATAATTTCTGAGCACAGTGGTTTCATTTATGCAACAGATTGACTAAAGTACTACAATGCTGCATGCTATTCTAAGGATTGGTGATATAAAGATGCTCATAGTCTACTAGACAGGAAAATTGATAAAAAGCAGTGACAGTTATCATAGGAATATACTTTGGAGGGTATTATAAATGTACAGAGAGGCATCTACTCAAATCAGATGCTGAGGGAGGTAAGGAAAGACTTATCATAGTAGACAATATTTTGTTGAGATTTGCAGAATAGGGCATTGAAGAAGTGGGGAAGGCATTCTAGGTTGAAAGAATATCATGTACAATGGTAGGGAAATACAGGAGCATGGCCAATAAAGAAGATACATGTGGCTGAAATAAAAGGTATATAAAATATTAAATCTGCCAGAAAAGTCCAAATCACAGTGAATCTTTGTGTGTCATGTTAGAATTTCAACTTTTTCCTGAAAGAATAAGTGTTGAGAAGGTTAAAACAGTAGACTTGGGGCTGGGGTTATGGCTCAGTGGTAGAGCGATTGCCTTGCACGTGGGTTTAATCCTCAGTACCACATTAAAAATAAATAAATAAATAAAGGTATTGTGTCCATCTATACCTAAAAAAAGAAATTAAAATAAAAACAGTATAATTAACTGGTCAGATTTGTTTCAGAAAGAAATTTAGAACTGTGGAAAATTCCTTGGATAGGATTTCCAGAATGGAGGTAGGAGGAGCACAGTGTAGTGGAATGGAGTTCTACATTTAGGGTTGGAGACCTGAATTCTGGTGGCTGCTCACCTTCTCATCCATTTACCAGCTTATCAATTTCCTAGTACTATTTCTCTATACCCTAGTTTCTTCCTGCCACCCATTGTGAACATCCTTACCAAATCTGAAATATCCACTCTGTTTCTCTTCAGTAAATCTCACTCCTTTTCACTGCCCAGTTCATGCCTAAGTGTTTTCCTGTTCTATTAGACCTTCATTAATTACTTCAGTTTACTGAGGGGTCATCTTTCTTCTGAGTCCATAACTATTGTAAGTTTAAATGTTATGCGTTCATCTAGTCTGTACAAAGATTTAAAATTGCTTTTGGGCAACGGTCCTTGTTTATGTTATTCTTTAAAATCTGACAGGTTAGTGCTCATGTGCAAAATAACTTGGTAAATGATTATTAGCTGGGGAGTTTTTCCTTATAAGCCAGACATTTTGAAAGTATAAATTGTTGAAAAGAGGCTTAAAAAAGTGTACTTTTATACGTTTTTTCTTAGCATATATCCTTCATCAAATGAATATATCTCTCTGTACATTCCTCTATGTCATCTCTAATTTTGAAATTCTGGAAACTTATGGCTGAGAGAACTCTCCTACTCCCCTTGTTTGTTTAGATTCTTGTGATGTTGGAGCTTGAACTTTCATGCCGAGAAACAGTACCCAAACCATGAGCCAAGTAACATTTTGCTGTTAGTAGTAGGAGGCTTCAGATTATTGGCAAACGAATATGGGAATGGAGAGCCAAAGGACCTGGGTTCCAGTATCCCTTCTATCTTTTATTTGCTTGTGATCACTGCTGAGCATTTAACAACAGAAGTTTGAGCTCTTTGATTAATGTTAATCAGTCAGAGATAACATCAACATTGCTGG